TTACTGCATTTGGGAACTCACTACTTGAAGCACCAGTCAGCAATAAAAAGGAACAACTACTAAGACATGCTGCATCCTGGATGAAATTCAAAAAGGTGCTAATGAGTAGAAGCCAGGCACAAGAAACCACATATTGTATGATTCCGTATGTATAAATGCCTAGAAAAGGCAGATTGATGGAGAAAAAGTAGATAAGTGGTTGCTTGGGGCTGATGGTATAGAAAGAGATTAATAGTAAAAGGTATTATAACGGGGATCTGAAAATGGCCAAAAATTTACTAAAAATCATTGAATTGTTGGCCTGCAATAGGTAAATTCTATGATATGTAAAATATACACCTAATAAGGTTGTTTAAAGGAAGACAAACAAAAAAACAAAAACCTATACTTGGGGCGCTTGGATGGATCAGTCAGTTAAGCGTCTGCCTTTGGCTCAGGTCATGGTCCCAGGGTCCTGGGATGGAGCCCCACGTTGGGCTCCCTGCTGAGCGGGGAGTCTGCTTCTCCCTCTCCCTCTGCTCCTCCCCCTTGCTTGTTCTCTGTTTCTCTCTCTCTCTCTCAAATAAATAAGTAAATTCTTAAACAAAACAAAACAAAACTCCATACTGTTGGCCAGAAAGCTGCTATCAACAACTAGACTCTAGATACTTTCAAAGCTGGGGTTTGGACACTGGAAAGCTGTTGCAGAAATATCACACCTCAACCTGCTTTTTCAGCAGGAATAGGCAAAGCAACCTTCCAAATCTCACATGAGAGCATCCATGTGGAGAATTTACTGCGCATCCAAGACTCTAGCTGCAAGGGAGTCTGGGAAATGTAGTCTTTGCTTTCTAACCTTCACAATGCAGGAAGACACACAGAAGGAAACACAGGTAATATAAAGAGTAGGAGAAAAGAGGGCTCTACACAGATGGAATGCCATTAACAAAGTCCCTGTCTTGTGTGCAGGTAACACAATAGAGGCAGTTGGGCAGGCCGTGGTGGTTGTGGTAAGGAACTTGGATTTTACCCTGGGTGAAATGGAAGCCACTGATAGGTCTTAAGCAAGGTGGTTTCCAAGATCAGATTTGCATGTTGAGAAGGTCCTTCTGACTGTATATAGAGAGTAGGTTTGGGGGACAAGAGTGGAAGCCAAAGATTAGTGAGGAAGCCATTGAATTCTCCAGATGATGATGGCCTAGAATGATGGTGGCCAGGGTCAGAGTTGTGTCTCAGGAGCTAGAAGGAACTGATGGATTTGAGAGGTGTCTAGGAGATAAAATCTAGAGAACATGGTAAAAATTCTATGTGGGTGATAGGGAAGGGGAAGTATAAAGACAATCCCCTAGTTTCAGACTCATGAACTTGGAGAAGTCATCTTACTTCTCTCCCGATTTCCTTTTACTCTCAACTGGGGTATGACTATGATGGATAATTCATTCATTCAACAGATATTTATAGTCCCTTTTTCCTAATGTCTGGCCCCAAAGGAAGTGCTCAGGAAAAAAAAATTTTTCTTTCATCCTTCAAAGCTCTACTCAAGTGCCCTTTCCCCCATGAAGCCTTCCTTGATTCCACCCCAAACCACACCGCTTTCTTACACATCTAAGCCATGACAGTCTGAGTCCCTGTGTGGACTGGCTGGACTGAACAAGGGCAGGGACAGTGGGAGGACTGGATAAGGCACAAGGCCTGGCTGAGGCACATGCCCTTCATGGCTAGAGGATAGGGTGAAGGAGGAGTAGGAGGGTCCAAAATACCTCGGATTTCAAATATTACCAACTCTAAGAGCACATTATTTCTTCCCACTAGGCCTTTGTTAATGTTCTTCTCTTCTGTCTGAAATGTCTTTTCTTTTATTCATCCATTGACTTAGCTTGGATGCTTCCCCTCCAGGAAGCCTGCTTCACCCAAGGACTCCTTGTTTGCACTCCCCTTGCATGCTTCCCTCACCAAAATCAACACTTCTCATACTAAGTGGTCATCATCTGTTTGCTTGTCTGTCTCCTACTGGATAGGGAGCCCCTTAAGGGCAGGGACCCCCAGGAATTCAGTCTGGGGAACAAAAATAGAAGTGACCTAATGCTTTCCACATCTACTCAATTAGTATTTATTGAGCACCTGCTTCATGCTGGGCTCTGATATAGGCAGCTTTGATGGAGGCAGATACGTATGAGAAGGGAAAGATGGGAAGGATTTCAGTGGAGAGAGGCCCAGGCAGGAGGCATCTGTATTAGTCAGAATTGGCTAAGTTTGCTGCAGTAACAAATAAACCCTGAAATCTCAGTGACTTAATACAAGTTTACTTGTATTAATACACTCAATACTAGTGACTTAATACACATGAGAAGTCTGATGTGGGTGCACAATGTCTAATTTGCAACTGGTGACTCTGGGGCCCAGAAACCTTCCATCATGCGTTCTGCCATCTCAACATGTGGACTCCCAGGCTTCCAAGGCAGAAAGAAAAGGACAAGCGTGGTTCATGGGCTCTAACTGCCTCAGCTGGGGAGTGACACCTGTCTGCTCACAGCCCATTGGCCAGTGCTAGTCATGTGACTCTCCCCAAGTGCAAGGGGGGTGCTGGGAAATTTAGGGAGGTGCATGGAGCATCTCTGCCACAGCATCCTAGGCTGAAAAAAGGCATGTGTGTGAGAGTGGGAAGGAGAGGGGGTATGTGGGGGAGTAGCACATAGATTATCCTAAAGATAAATCCCTAATTCCTAGCATGGACTCACAATAAAGCCCCAGTGACCACTTTTTGGGTTTTTTTGTTTTTTGTGGGTTTTTTTAAATTTTTTTTTAACTTTTTTGTGTGTGTGATTAGAGAATGAAGGAAGGAGTAAGTGGTTCTACAAGGTTCAGTTTTGAATACCTTCTGATCCTGGGGCACTAGAGCTCAAAATGCCATTTATCAAGGATCTACTTGGTGTTGTGCACTGTGCTAGGACTGTACACATATCATTCCATCCCATGTAATCATTAGAACAACTCTGAGGGGGGGGTAGGGATTGCTGGGCCCATATTACAGATGAGAAGACTGAGGCTCAAACTAGTTTAATCATCGGTCCAGGGCTGAAGCCAATGCCCAGATCCTTTCCGTCATGGTGCATTGGTACAATCACACACAGGAACAGAAGGAAAAGCCTTAAATGGGTGAGAGGGTGGTTTTCTCACACTCTTCAAGTCTTCCCTATCTGAGGAGGTAAAAACACCGTGTACATCAATCAAGTATGGAAGCAAGAGAAGGTGGAGTATAACCTTGGTCAAGTGCTTCCCTTATCCACACTCAACTGCCACTCAACTTTCTTCAACTGCAAGTGGACATGGTAGCCGGCCTGGGGTGATCATGCGATTCCCTGAGAAAGTGTCTATAAGCACTGAGTACCAAGGAATGACTGCATAAATGGTTCATATTGACTCTGTTAGAGCACTCACCTTCAGAAGGGGACTGTGAGCAGAGGGAATGTTATTAGGGCCGCACCTACCCAGATGGCAACATTGGGTGTTTTAAGGTGGCCACGTGGAGTGGAAAGTCAGGTGCAGGGGAATGCCAACCCTACATGCTTCATGCACCTGGGGTGAGACCCTAGTCTCTGTTGGTTCTTTCATCCAAAAGTGAGAGAAATCAGCAAATCCATCAAATGCTTAATATTTCAGAGGGCTTGGGGGAGTAATATTGAAAATATGGGTGTAAATGCATCTTACAAAGCCCAAGTCTTCCTCTGTCCTGACCACACCTGAACCACAAGCACCCCAAGGAGAGGAGCTGGGGCTCAGACACCCTTCGAGTTCCCTCCTTCTACTGCCCAAGAAGCTGGACAGGAGCAGTCTGCAGAAAACCCAAATAGCTCATCATCCATCAAACAAATGGTGGCTTAATTCAGAGTCTGAGGAAATTTGGAAGTTCAGTCTAAATCAGAGATTGCAAACTGGCAGTGACTGGGCCAAATTCAGCCACAGACAAGTTACTTAACCTTTCTGTACCTTGGTTTCCTTATTAGGAAAATGGGCATAATAATAGTAATACCTAGACGGACTGTTGTGAGGATTAAAAGAATTAATATAGGGTTGGTGGAGCTTGTGACTCTTGGTCTTGGAATTGTTTGAGCCCCATGTTGGGTGTAGAGATTACTTAAAAAAATAACATCTTAAAAAAATAATAAAAAGGTTATATGTAAAGTGCTCAGGACAGTGCCTGATACATAATAAGTGTTGTGTATGCATTGTTGTTAATATTATTTGATTCACATAATGGTGAAGTTTTTGGATTTAAGTGTTTTCACTTAGCTGGTTTCTTCATTTTGCCTCAGTCCCCACCACTCCCTCTTGTCCTACACCTGTCTTCCCTCCCTCCTCAGGCCCAGAAGTCCCCTGGTTTGAGTCCCCAACTACAGCCTGGTCCTTTGTTCTCATTGTGGCTGCTGGATGACACAGGTTGTTGATTCCTGCCATTGAACCACGAAGATTACAATTGTAATCCAGAGTCCCTGATGCCCTTTCTCAATAGAATTTGGGAGTTCTAATCCCATCCCACTCAGTGTTAAAAAGAGAAACCCCAGGGGCTCCTGGGTGGCTCAGTGAGTTAAGCCTCTGCCTTCAGCTCAGGTCCTGATCTCAGGGTCCTGGGACCGAGCCCCAAATCGGGCTCTCTGCTCAGAAGGGAGCCTGCTTCCCCTTCTCTCTCTCTGCCTGCCTCTCTCTGCCTGCTTGTGATCTCTGTCAAGTGAATAAATAAAATCTTAAAAAAAAAAAAAAAAAAGAGAAAACCTAGGGACACCTGGGTGGCTCAATCAGTTAAGCAGTTGCCTTTGGCTCAGGTCATGATCCCAGTGTCCCGGGATTGAGGCCCGCATTGGGCTCTCTGCTCAGCAGGGACCCTGCTTCTCCCTCTTCCTCTGCCTGCCGCTCTGCCTACTTGTTCTCTCTCTGTGTCAAATAAATAAATAAAAGCTTTTTTAAAAAAGAGAGAGAGAGAGAGAGAAACCCACACCAGCTGAGACAAAACTGAAACCACAGAGTTCCAAGATTATATAGATGCATGGTTTATTATCATTCAGATGATTATCATGGACAGGGGAAGACGCTAGAGGGTTATATAGAAGTCAGCTTTCGGGGTGGTTTCCAAATGCCTGCACAGATTTATTTTCACACTCTCCACAGAGCACTGCACAGGATGCCCCTCCCCGCAGTGCTTCACCCAAGCAGAGCACAGCCCTGGGGCAGGGCTCTGCCCACCCACAAAAGGATGCCCAAGAAGGTGAGGATAAGAACTGGATTTGGACATCACATTTTCAATCCCACCCTGACCTCAATGTCTGCTAAATCCAGAGTCACCCTGGTTCTCTCTGGGGTCCCTTGGAGGACACAAAAGGATCATTTTAGCCAGAGTTAAGGAAGGGGAGCAGCCACAGGGAGTGCGAGGAGAGGGACTCTGGGATCTGACCCCTAGCCAACAGTGGAAAGTTGGGGTAATATGGAGTTTAAACTCAGAGGCTTCCTTTCTCATGTCCCTGAAGGGGGCGGGAGGACAAGGCCAGGGAGTTGGGTGTTGTATATGGGGTGGGGGGAGGCCCAGGTGTATGGTCAGGGATCTAAGGTGGGGAGGGAAAGAGGGGGTCACAAAGGGATAGGGCCACAAAGGCTTAAGACATTCTCAGACTCTAAACTTTATAGGAAACTGGGTTCACTCCTCCAGTGGCTCCCTGGCCCAGGCTGCCCGCCGCCCAGGATGCTGCCGCTTCTCCTCAGCCCCCTGACCCCTGCTCAGGTCATCTAGGAGTCCCAGCAGGAGGCTGGCTTGACCACAGGCTTCCCCAGGCCCACAAGGGCCCCCCAGAGCCCTCTTGCCGGGATGCTGGCGTTTCCCAGGGATGGGCTCGCCCTCTTCCTCCTCCTCTTCCTCCTCCTCTGCCTCCCAGCTCCTCTGGGCCTTGGAATCCACCAGCCGTCTGCCTGGGTGCTGCCTCTTGGTGAAAGTGTAACCCAGCCAGGAGGGGCGCCGGCCAGGATGCTGCCACTTTTGCTGGGTGACATCGGACCAGGCAGCCACATCCTCCCGCCGGCCAGGATGCTGCCGTTTGTGGGGGCCCACAGCCCCACCTTCTTCCTCCTCCTCTTCAACCCCCTCTTCTGCCTCCCCCTCCCTTTTGCCTGGATGCTGACGCTTGGAGAGCCAGTCGGGTTGAATGATCTGAGACTCTGGGGAAGGAAAGAGACCAGTGAGGGACCCTCTGCCCCTGAGCAGCCCCCCTCCAGTCTCTCTCCTAGTTAAGGCAGAATCCCTGCAGCACTCATCCAGAGTCAAGGCCTTGTACAGCCCCTCAGAAATATCTCTCTCTCTCTCTCTCTCTCTCTCTCTCACACACACACACACACACACATGCACATGCACTGATGGTCAAAGGCACGACCTCTGGCTTCGGTCCAAGCTCTGCCACTCCCTGGCTGTGTGACCATAAGCTACTCACTTAACTTCTCGGAACCTCAGTTTTCTTCTGTGCAAAATGAGGGGTAATAACAGTATGGATCTAAGAGCTTGCTAGGAAGATCAAATAGTGTGATACGGTGTTTGAACACCTGAGATCAGTGCCTGGCATATATGCACCTAGTAAGCAGTAATTAAAACTGTCATATACAGTTTTTCTCTCTCCCGTGCACAGAATCTTCCCCACTGAAAGTTGGCTCTCTGTGAAATATTCCAGGACCCACACGGAAGAGAAATCTGATCTCAGGAAAGGGTCAACTCATGATCTTGCTAAGGTTATGGTCAACAGTTTCTAAGCTCAGAAAGGCAAGAGTTTGGATGACCAAGTCCCTCCCCATCTCTGCGTCGTGGTTTCCTCCAGCCCTCTTCAGGGTCTCTGATCAGAGGGACACACGCCCGGTCCTCACCAGATTCGGGATCGCCCTGGTTTCCTCGCAGCCGCTGGACGTCTTCGCGAAGGAGTAAGAGGCGCTCTGCTTGGTGCAGGAGGTCGTCCAGATCCGCATGCTCGGCGGCCATCGCTGCCTCCTGCTGGGCCACCTCCGGCTGTGCGCGACCTCCCGGAAAACCAGCCACGGTCAGGGTCAGCGCCATGGCGAGCAGCAACCAAGCGCCGGGCATCGCGGCGTCTGGAATTGGGAGGGCAGAGAGAAAGCATAAGCGCGCCGCACCCCTCTCCCAGTCCGCACCATCTTCCCACCTTTCCTGTCCCAGCGGGTCCCCAACCTGGGTCACAAACCATTCATACATCCTCCCGCGGGCAAGGCCACCTGCCACCTTAGGGTGGCAGCCTCGGGCTTTGGGTGTCCTCACCCGTGGAGATGCTTGGAGTGACTGGTCGCGCGCCCAGTTCTGCTGCGCGAGCCTGGAAGCCGTGGGAACTCCATCGTCACCGCCACTCCTCAGTGTCACTGAGCGCAGGGCTGGCTTGCCAGGCGTGTTACCACCTAGAGAGCCCCGCCCGACCGCCACAATGCCGCGTCGCAGGCTTAAGACCCTTCCCCGCGCCACATTCTTGGTCCAGCGCTCCCTTCCAACGTTCGGATTCCAAATTCCATTTCTAATGTCAGATTCTATGGCCACGCTAGGACACCAGTTCTAACTCTAAAATCCCCAGTTTCAACGATAAAAATGTTTCTAAGGTGAGACTGAAACTCGAAGGCTAAGATTCGAGTCCAACGCGAAAAATCTGCTTCTAACACCTGGATTCGGATTCTAACTCTCAGGCACTGACGCCGGACGCCCTGACTGCCCAGTTCTACCCCTACGTCCCGGCGCGGACCTACAGCGGCCATCCAGGCTGGGGTGGGATGGAGAACTTTCCATCCTACTGACGCCCGGCGCCGAGCAGCTCCAGCCGCCGGGACGGGGGTGAGCAGGAGCGAACGCCACCAGTGTGCCCGGTCAATTCCCCGGCCCGCGCCGTGGAAGCACCGGGGGTGCGGACGCCACGCTCCGGGAGGCGTTCGGGGGACAGAAGCCGTGGCTTCTCCCGGGGGCTCCCCCGGCAGCGGGCAGAGAGGACCCCCTCCCAGTGCTCCCGGACGCCCCCTGCGTGGGGAGAGGGGACGGAGGTGGTTACCTGCCGGGCGACAGCTCCGCGGGACGGGTCCGGGATGCTGGGGCTCCGAGTTCGGAGTTTCGGAGTCCAAAGTCCGCGGGGCAGGAGGCCGGGAGCGCTCGCAGGACCCGGGCGTCGGCTGCCCGCTTCTCCGCGGGGCCGCTGCTTATATCCGCGCGGGGTGGCGGCGTCGGTGAGGTCAGGGGGAGGGGTCGCGGCCGCCGGGAAGGGGCGCTGACGGCAGCGGGCCCCGTGGGTACCCCGCCCGCCGCCTGCCTGCCAGCTCCACCGGAAATCTGGGGCGGGGGCGGCGAGAGCTGCGGGGGCGGCGAGAGCTGCGGGAGCGGCGAGGCGCTTGCTGGAGGCTGGGGGCTGGGGAGTCGGGGGCAGTGATGATGCCGGGTCACCTCTGCACCCAGCTCCGAAGGTTTGTTGTAGAGGAGAACAGTCCTGGAGGGGACAGAGAGAGGCGCAGAGATACTGAGAGAATCACACAGTTGAAAAGGGACACACAGGAGAGAATAGGAGATAGAGACAAAGACTGAAAGAGGTACCCAGAAACAGAGCAGAGAAAGAGAGAGAGAAGGAGAAAGAGAAGGGGGGAGAGGACAGAGGAAAAACGTAGGGGACAAATGGGACCTGGGTTCTCATCCTGACCATGTCACCTCCAGCAAATGCTTTCTGCTCCCTGGGCCTCAATTTTCTCATCTGTACAGTGGGAGAGAGGGACAGTTTTCAGAATTCCCAAACTGGTAGCCTGGGGTCACCACTAAGTCACAGATGGTTTGACTCCCACAGGGATTTGGAAAACAAAAAACAAAAAAACCCGAATAACTTAACACTTAAACGCCAAGAGAACTCAAGAAAAATTTGGTTGTATGGCTTCTCTTGAAAATCTCTTGAAAAAAAGTGGATCTGCATTTTCTCCTGACAACAGCCAGCTGGAGCTGAGCGTGCTTACCCCATTCGCCAAGGTGGAACATTGGATTTTGTGGCCCTTGGACCAGAAGTCTATTGGGGCACACCCCATCCAGGCAGAGGAGAGGAGATGCAGGGAGGAGAAAAGTAGATGACAAAGGGCTTGTCCCGATTATCACTCTCCAGGATCACACTGGAAGAGAACACAGCCACATCTAGTCCTGAGCACAGCCTCCACCCTGAAACATTTAAGGGGCACCCATGGTGTGCCAGGCTCCTTGGTCAGTCCTGGAGACACAGAAGTTAGCCAGGCCCACTTCGAGGGAGCCTCATTTTAGGAGGAGGGAACAACATCAGTGAAGGCGTCTCCTACCTCTGGATGATCTCAACATTAACCAGCTTCCCCATGCAGTATTTCTTCAACCTCTCATTTTAGCTGAGCACCTGCTGAATGCCCCAGGCCTTGTTCTAGCAAGGGATGCCAAAATTGTTTAATTATCACTCCTTTCTTCCATATCACTGGATCTTCACATCACCTGGCAAGATAAACAAGGTAGAGACTATCAGTCCCACTCCATAGAGGCTTGGGGAGGCAGAAAGACTTTGAAAGTTAGAAGTAGAAGGGAATGTTCAGATCACCAACTAGAGCCCTCTCCCCACTCTTAGATGAGGAAACTAATAGAGATAGATAATGACCTGATAGAGTTGACCTGATCTGCTGCTTCCTGACTTCCAGCCCCCTCCCCACCCCAGGTGGCAGGGAGGGGGGCAGAAAGCTGGCTGGGTAGATTGCAGACCTGAAACCCCAGGCTTGATCTCCCAGCTAGACTCCAGGATTTGAAGAATTGCTGTCGTAACTAGACATTGAATCAGACAGACAGTCAGACCTGTTTTCTTTCCTATATAAAGAGAAGGTGTAAATTGATAGACTCTCTGGGGAGGGCAACCTAAAAATTTAACACATGTATAACTTCTGCAAGACGTCCTGCAGACATGTACACACGGGGTATCTGGTGCTGCAGGGTTTGTAGAAGCCAGAATTAGAAACAGCCTGGATGTCTGTCTGTCTGCCATGAGGGGTCTTCTTAAATCAATTAGGGCCCACCCAAAACCATGGGTACTGTTCTGACTTTGAAGCACGAGGCGATTCCCTATGTATGGATGTGGAGTAAGTTCCAAGATACACTGTTAGGTGAAAGGAGCCAAGCAGAAAATGATGTGTGTATCATGTACACGCAGGAGGGATGGATGGTTATAGCCTTCAGCAGAGACCTTTCCAGAGGGATGCGGGAGGACAGTGAAGACAGGGAACTGGGGAGCTCAGGAAGGGGAGGCCAGTGGGGAGTGGGGGGAGCTTGCTGTTCATTCTCAGCCCTTAGTGCCGTTTGAATGTTCTCGCTTTGCAGCATTACCCATCTACAAACCAACAAACAGCACCAACGAAGTAACAATGAAATCTCCTCTGAGTGTGTGGCGGAAAGGAGTGATGATCGTGGAAGGATAGAAAAGCTATGGGGGCGGGGGGATCTGGGGGACTCAGTTGGTTAAGTATCTGCCTCCCGCTCAGGTCATGATCTTGGGGTCCTGGAATAGAGCCCCGCAACGGGCTCCCTGCTCAGCAGGGTGTCTGCTACTCCCTTTCGCCCTGCTTATGCACTCCTCTCGGTCAAATAAATAACATCTTAAAAAAAGAAAACAAAAGAAAGAAAGAAAAGAAAAGCTGACGGGTGGGGTGAGATGGCTGGAACATCGCCCCCTGGTGAGCCCATTGGATGCATTTCTGTAATCAGGGATTGAGTTGCCTGTTCTGGAGGACAGTGCCGGGAGGGCTAGGGAGGGGAGAGGAGAGTTCTCACATTGCCCAAGGGACCAGTGAGGATGGTACAGGCATGTAAGGCTCTCTCTCTCTCCCACCTTCCCTCTCTACCTTCCTTCCCTCGGCAAATATTCACTGAGCCCCTAGAAAGTACCAGGACCTGTTCTAGACTTTGGGCACTGTATTGCCCTGTATTTCTAATGCTTTGACCCAGGGCGGAGGGGCGGGGGCAGAGGGGGTCTGGCTGACTCTGGAGAGGCTGCCTCTCCCAGGGTTAGCCAATTCTTAGAGCTCATAAAGGACTCACCTTTCATATGCAAACTAACCAGTCCAGAGCCCACTTCCCACAACACTCTGGGCTACTGTCCCCTTGCCCTTATCTCCCAAAGCCAGGTACACACTGCTAGGGACAGTCCCTAAGCCCCAGAGCCACTGAAATTATTCAAATAAGCCAATCCTAAACCTGCTTACCCTGCCTCCCCATTCCACTGTTCCTCTTCCTTCAGGCAGAAACCACAATAAAGGCACTTGCCTAGTCTCCCCACCCCCCCACTCCCTGCTTCTTCTGCCTCCTAGTGAATCCTGGTGCTTCCCTGTGCATCTTTGCTGGGGTGGTTTGCCCTTCCTTTTAAGAACTGTAAGTAATAGCTAACTCTTCAATGCCAGCAGTATCCTAATCTACGGGTCTCACCATACCTGAATAATAATAAAACCTACATTTTAAAACAGGGATCCAAGCAGAATAAGGCAGGATCCTGCTCTGGTCTCTCACGGAGCTAAGTCTTTGTGTCGCATATATTTTCCTCTGATAATACAAATGTGCTTCATTCTCAAGACTGTATTTGCTTATCAGATTAATATAGCTATGCTTTTGAAAATGAATAATGGGATAATTTAACGGGGAGTTTGTACACTAATTTGTAACTCCCGATGCCTGTCTGCCCGTCCCCACCCCAAGACACACACACACACACACACACACACACACACACCCCTTCCTGCAGGAAGTCTCAGTGTGGGTTCTAATTCTAATTCTAATAAAATACTCTGCCTTCCCTGAATTCCCCTGTCTTCTCTCTCAAAGTCTCTCTGCTCCCTGTTCAGAGATGTCTCCAGGATATTTTAGGGTCTTTTTCAACCCTGAGCTGCAGAAGGGCCCGAGGTAGTCCCACTGAAATTATATTTTAATTTTTTTCACGGTGGTTTTTAAAATTAAACTCTTTATATCCAGGTAATTATAGATTCATATGTGGTTCTAAGAAATAATACAAAGAGGTTGTGGATACCCTTGACCCAGCTTCTCTTCATGGTTACATGTTGTAAACTATAGTGCAAGATCACAACCAGGATATTGACTTTGATACAAGCCACTGATCTTATTCAGATTTCCTGGTTTTACTTGGCAATTGTGTGTGTGTGTGTGTGTGTGTGTGTGCGCGTGCACTTAGTTCTATGCAGTTTTATCACTTGTGTAGGTTTGAGAATCTATGATATGGAGGCTTTTTAATTACAGAAGACGGTACCTTTATATACTCGTTTTTTTCTATTCTGTTTCTGTTGTCAAAATAGTGAAGGTCTTCTTTTCCCCAAGATCATAAAATTCCAGGAAGAAAAATCCATTTCATATCTGTTTTTCTCCGTAGAAACTCATCCCAGAAATCTTTCTGATCCAGATTTCCCCTTCCCCTTTCCATTGGAGATTTTTGATCCAATTGAGCAACAATTCCTTGATGA